GCTGACCCTGACAGATCTAGCGTCTTCTAGTCGCGGCTGTGGTATCCACTGCCGAGATGTACGTAATGTTTCATTACCTTATTCACTTGCCCATTCCAGAACATCACCCGTAGGGTACACATAGGAAGCTACGCAGGTTTCCAAAGGTCCATCGGGGTTAGCATGACGACTGAATTGTTCACATGAAGGAACACACCTCTGATATTTCATTCTATCCCCAGTGGGTCTTTACGCTAGGGTTAGGTCTGTCCGCCGGATTGGATGTTCTCGTTGCCTCCGCGCTCTGCTATTATCTGCGGAAGAGTCGTAGTGGATTTTCCTCGTAAGTCTCGCAGCACCCTGATGTTGTCTTCGTGACTTACTGTCTACAGAATGGATGGCGTCCTCAATACTCTCACATTCTACACCATTCAAAATGGTTCGTTGACGTTGTAGGTCGCTTCATAAGATTCTCCATTACTCATTTGACTAGTGTGACAGTATTGCGACATTGGCCGCCCTCGTTTGCGTAAGCATTTCTTGACGGCCCATCACATTGACTCCACCTGACCTTGACACTGGCGCGTAGTGGGTGACAATGACCAATTTAATCTTCCTTGCCCTTCACTTTGTCATCACCAAATGTGGGTCGCTGCACACTTATCCGCGTGGAGTTAGACTGCTTACGCCAGAGCATCAGTGTACGCTAATGCGCTCCTTTCAACGTGAGTTCCCCGTTCTGCACCGGCTCGCCTATCGCGTCTGATTTCCACTATTTTTAGACTGAATGCGCGCAAAACTATCCGCATACAGCAGACTTCTGCTGAGGTCGAGCCTTCTATGCAGCTAGTCATCAGCTCGTCAGATTTCAATCGACCTGAACGCAGCCGTGCTCGTATCCGTCATAACGTGAGTGCCCGACCTCTTCATATTTGCCCGTGCTAATCGGGGTCTGGCGTAGCCGGAGGACATACCCATGACAACAAAGGTACGTCGAGCGTGACGAGTGGATATCTGGATGTCACTAATTGTTGCACAGGTGCAGATCAATGTGGAGGAGACTGTCCACACAGACTACGAGCATGAAGAACAACAGGACACAAAAACACCATTGTGACATACCTTGAGGCGCCAGCAGACCCTACGACAAGCTGTGTCTCAAGCTTCTGGTACTATCATTCTGTGTATTGACAGCGCATCTTGGGGGCGACAATGTTCCTATCATGCTTCGGAGAAGAGAAGAGCGCTCTCGGCTCCGTGTACGATTTCAGCCGTGGGTATACCCTGTACCAGTTCTCATGCAATGCGTCGTTCTCCGGGACATACCCCATATTGGATTTGATCTCTATATCCGGTTCGTTATGTGATCGGATCTTGTTCTGCCTCATACATGTCTAGCATCCCACTTAATCAAATTTTGCGGGGTGGAGCGCCTTTTCTCTCCTGCCTGTCATGCTATATGAAATTTGGTATGATTCCCCGCAAGACATAACGAAATGATGCCGTCGACACTGTCGCCAGACTCCAAAAGAGCATAATTTCATGTGCGTTCTTAAGTGTAATTTCATGCTTGTTATTGACTTGGAATTACAATACAAAATAAAGTTTCGAAATAACGAGCAGAATCATTGGCTAAGGTTCCTATATCTTTCTGAGTTTTTTCTCTTTTTTTCTTCTTTTTCATTCCCCTTTGTTGTCCACGAGGGCCTGGCCCTATGTAGACATAAGGTACTGTACTGGCACTGTCACTATTTGTACGGTGTCGTTTCGAAGCAGAAGCATTGGGCTCTTTCTCAGTTGACCGCAACCGGTCGTCATCGATCTATCTTTGATAGACCCTGGGGCGACATCCAGCGGTGTGGCATTATGCCAACCTTCTCGCTTGCGGCTCTTGTCTGCTCTCTCTTGTGACATATCGCAGCTTCAAAATTGAGTGAGCACTTTAGAGCTGAAATATGTCCGAAGTGGTGACCATTGGTGATCACGGTTGAACAGCTGTGGGCTGTTACGTTCCAATCTAGACCTCGACGATTTAGCGTTAATTTCAGCCCGTGATCATAGATGAACAGGGTGTCTATCGAAAGTGCTCTGAGTATGTGGAGGCACTTGGGGCATTACAGGCACGAGCATCAGGCCACTGGTATGGAATATGGACACCTAACGACTCAAAAAGTTTCGTGACAGGACACGCAAAATCTTCTTAGACGAGGCAGTGATCCCTGAGAAATAATGCGCCACCCCCACCCTCACCCAACTTATGGAAGGGATCGCGATCGCAGTTATAGCATGACGCACTCGGAACAAACGAAACAGTTGAGCCGAAGACCGATTTTGGATCCCGGAGGCCGAAGACTGAAGTAGCGCAATTGGACCCGATTTGGACCCGACATCAAATCGGCGGTTTGACATTAGGCTTCGGCTCAGCAACTCTGCCCCACAATTGCCAAGCACCTGGCGCGTTCGTCGTTGCGCTGGACACTCTCGATGGATCGCCCCCAACTCCACAAATGATAAAAGCCGGAATCCCATTTATCGTCTATCAGCGCTGAGGCCAGGATTGGCGGGCTCCTGTAGTCGACTATGTTCTTGAACCTCCAGAGATATGCATGATGAGAATTTTATCGCGCAGATGGCGGGATTGGACCTTGGGGGATTCCCGGTCCCTGACTCATGCATGGAAATGTCGTGTTAAATATGGTAAAGTACCGTACTTAGCGGCGTAGTCTATTAGGAGATTTGTATTCATTCCCAGTCGAGAATAGCAATATGGCACATCAAGACAATATAACATCCTGTAGAATTTCTGCTGTAAGTATTGCCTGCATCTACCGAGCCAACACCGCTATTCCACTTGGGAGTAAGTATATACGATGCTTACTGACATAATGGCACGCGGCCTCCGCAGGATCTAGCGGCGAAACACGGCAGCTCGAACATGGACACCATGCGAGTACCGATTTAGGCCTTACCAAATGAGTGCTTCTACCATCGCGCTGCCGATGAGTTTCTAAGAGTGTAGCAGGGTGGCGTTAAAAATCAAAAACACATTGGAGAGCATAATTTGATAATAGGTACCAAGAATATTAGAAGACAAGATGAGCATTATTCATAGACAAACTCATGGATTCAGGTAGACTCACTGTAAGACTATTCTGTAGAAATCGGCGGTAATAAATGCAAGAACCCAAATTCCACACATCAGGAAAACTGGATCGTTCACCTCCTGGTCTGTAGAGCAACGTAATATCATGTTGTACAAAACCGGGGGGGGGGAAGCAGCAGAAGTTATGTATCCAAAGGAATATTTCCTCATACGTCAGCATCAACGAACAGCTTGACACTGAAATGAGATATCAATGTACATTGCCGGCAAATATGGAAATCGATTTGTTGTCAGCTGAGACATTTATTTCCACCTGGCTAGCAAAGCTGAGCTTCTCTTGACAGATAGTTCATCAAGAATTCAAAACCTACGGAGTTTAGTAATCGCGGCTACGATTCTGGAATAGCCGTATGTTGGTGGTCTGAACACCATAACTCAAAGCAACAAGCTGACCTGGAGACCTTTGCCAGTCTATTTCTCCACTTGGTGATTTCGCATCGTGGATCCTGCGGATGAGTCGAGGAGCACCCAGTAGAGGTGAGCCCCCGGAAGGGGTGTACGCCGTACGGACTTGCGCGTCTTGGAGGTACCCAGGCTTCAGCCACCCGTTCTTTTAAATTCTTGTAGTATGGGTTTGTCAAAACATGGTCGGACCGATAATCCCTAGCGACACATGCGACACACGGGCAAATGGTAAAACTATCCTCTAGTGGCCTGCTGAGGACTCGGATGTAGGCTGCTGTCACTCACTTCGACGCGTCTCATAACGCGTCTCATAACGCGTCCGTCACACGCGTGACGAGGATGATACCCGGGCCACTGAGGTGACTTCGAAGATCCTCGAGTTGCCACTGAGTCGCACTCTTAGTGCAATCCACTTGCAACTTTCGGGCTTTGTTCGCTCTCTCACCATGTTTGATGATACTCCAAGGCCTAGCAAGAGAAGACGAGTTGAACCACGGTCTTCGTCGCCTCTTCAGGAGACAACGTCTGAGTCGCGCCCGTCTCTTGCACCTCTTCCTCCAGCTGTTCTCTTGGTGTCGTTGCCAGCCTTATTAGCACACCCGCCAAACCATCGCTACTACATCCAGTCTCTTGTTCTTTCGCTAGCTTCTCTGAGAAAGTGTGTTGCTCTACCCGCGTTATCCCCAGAGATAGAATGTCGCGCCTGGACTGGTCTTGCAGAGATTGGTATGAAGGTCATCGGAGGTGGCTTTAGTCAGAATGAGCACTATATTTGGGCAAATGGAATAGAGATAGAGGTGTGTCTCTAGTTTCCCCTGAAATGACAGGACTGAATACATACACTCAGGTCGAAAAAGCTTTAAACAAAGGGGTGAGTTCTTTCTTACATCTCACCAGAATACACGCTCCATAAATCACACGCATATATGCGCATATTCAATATCTAATATGTCTGAAAAATATACTGACTATCCAGAACTTTCAGTCTATCATCGCGCAGAAAGTACGTCGTGTTATTTGGGTTTGGAGGTCGTTTGCTGACCTAAATCAGCATCCATCTCTTCGCGCATACATGCACCATTTGGCGCTGCTACAAGCTCAGTTGTCCCACTGGCAACACAAATCCAAATTTTCTCGTAATCAGATCCGAAACGTTCTAGCATCTTTTCTCCCCACGGACCCTCCTCATATCGTTTATTACGCGCATCTCGCATATATTAACCTCCTAACTGCTCCCAACTCTCCACCCTCATCTTATTCCACTTCGCACACTACCACGCCCAACCTGCGCACTCAAAGTCTACAGGATATGCACGCAGGCTTGTCTTGCATCGAACGTCTTGAGGAGCTGTCAAAGAAGAACGAGCACAAACAAGTGACTTTGCTTGCTAGGGTACTACGTCTTCGGGTCCTCATCGCAGCGGGCATATGGGCGGACGTTCCTTCGGCTCTCCAAAGAGCAGAAGATGCGCTCGGACTGTCCTACGAAACTCATTCTACGCCGAAGCCGAGCAAAGCCGGAACGGCCCTACAACAGGAAACCACGTTCATCGCATTCGACGATCCATTCGAGACGTTCATGGTTGTACATGTACTGGTTATGGCGGTGGTGTTTCACACGCACACGGGGAGTGCGGCGGACGCCTCGCCACGACTTTCTCATCTGCACGCACTTCTGGATTCAAATGCCGTAGACAAGTGTCCAACTGGGGCTGCAGAGGTTAGTACCCGTCGCCACCTATGTATTCTCGAGACAGTTAGACAGATTTGATATCAAATTGTCTCTGGTCTTGCTTCCGTATCGTGATTATGAGTACTAACTTCACACCATCTAGATCATCTTCTCCGAAGGCCCACCGCTCATCATCGAGACGACACATCCACGCGTCCTTTTTCTTCTAGCTTTCCTCGTCAGTGCTGTAGCTAAACGAGACGCAGTAGGTCGGAAACCAAAGCGAAAGGTATTCGCTACAGAAGGCCTTGCAACATGGGAAACGGAGTTTCCGCGCGACATCTCATGTACGCATATACTCTTGGTTTGAAATATCCCGAGATGTCTTACATATCAGTTGTAGTTGCGCTATGGGCGGGGAGAGACGACGTCGAAGAAGTCGAGCAGCGTCTTGCGAGAATCAAGGCTGACCTATTATGCGAACTCATCGCCGTGCGTACATCTACATACAGCTCAATGGCAAAGCCTTTGTTCATGTGATAGACAGGTCTCTATCATGCGCAGCGAGTTCGATGTTGCCGAACAGGTGAGAATTTTTTGCGACGAATCTTGTAATTTGACTGATATGTGCCCAGAATTTGGGTATCTTGATTGCTCATACGCGTACATATGGTCTTTTTGGGCTTTTTGCAGCGCGCATTTCTCTGCATCACGGGCACCTTGCCCACGCACTTGGGCAGAGCGAGCGCGCGCTTGACTGCTATCGAGTCGCCGCACACCGTGCTGAGCAAGGAAGTTTTGTGGAGATGGCTGCCCGAGTCGGCGAGATCGCACTTCGACTAGGGCTGCAGCGCCACGTTGAGGGAACGGATTGTGGCCTCACAGAAGGGGATTTTGAGTCAAGCATGAAGGTAGTTAAAGAGTGCAGGGGTATGGGTGGGACGTTGGATGCCATCGGACAAGTGATTGAGGCATGCCTCACGCCTGAGATCCTCAAAGCCAAGTACGTCCCGTGCGGATAGTCCCTTTATTTGATTGTTTTTTGACTGCTAATATTTAAGACAACACCTCAAGTATGCGTTATCACTGGCTACTCAAGCCCAGGACAACCATCTCCGTGCGCTTACGCTTGCTATGATCGCGTCGCACTACTTCCACACTGCTGGAGATCATGCGCTAGAGATGCTCCAGACCTGCGAGCAGCTTGCGGCAGGCTTGGGCGCCCCATCCACGAAGTCGTCGAAAGCTAAGGCAGCATCGAGATCAGGAGAAAGCGAGAACGCGGCGTTGGTTCCGGTGGGAAATGCGCCTCTGGGCCTATGGGTAGGTGAGCGGTTTTTGGGTAAGTCTTCAAACATAAGTCCTCGAGCTGTCTTTCTGACCATTGCTGCTCAGAGTTGTACAGACGCGCAGGAAAGGAGGATCGGGCGAAGAAGCAAGCTGCAATTAATGCACAATTCAGAGAGGCTGTCCAACGTCTCGCCCGACGTCCGGCGTGTACGGCGGACGACACATCAACACTCCAGTAGTAAAGAGTGTGCGCATGACTACCAACCATAGTCACATTAGATTCATCGTATAAGGTTTTTTTGCAGTTCGCTCTTACGGTTTGTTGTATCCTATTTTTGATACCTCACCTCGACTTAAAACTGAAATGAGCAGTACCATACATCAATCATACGTGCCCCTGGTCCACCGTGTTAACGTTTCGGTGCTTATTCGTACACCCATATTGCAACAGTATCGTCGTAATGCTCTGCTGTTTTTTAGTTCTTGATCCGCTAGTTCGTGACACGTGCATGCTGTAGTTGTGGATATGTCGACATAGCGCTGATTTTTGTACGCCGCATTCGTGTCGAGAGTGCCCTTCCTACCTTGAGTTTGTTCTCATTGTTAGGTATGGATATGCCGTCGGAAAACATTTGCGGGCAGCGTGTACACTACACGAGGTCTGAATCTGCATGAAACTGTCCATGGCTTCCTATATAAGTAGTCCTGAAACTCGGAAAAGTGAGACACATCGCGAGCCACATAAGAGTCAAACAAACAGATACGACTTATATATATATATGAAATGATGTGGCACGAATCACTAGTCCTGAGTTTGGGCTACCACGTCCCCTAGTACGTCCCCACTGCCTTGTACCCTGATCTGGCAACTTTCGTTTTGCGAAGGAGGACCCCACCGACACCAAACAAAAGGGCGAGAATGCCAACAAGGAGACCTATGATGATGTACTCATTCCGGACGAACGTATCGTAGTCTGAAGACGATGAGGGGCTCGCGTTCAACGGATCTTGAATTGACAAATCCAAAGAGGAGTAGGATGTCGACAATTTGGTTGAATCAGGTATGCCCGTCATGTTCTGTCCTGTGAAGCAGTACCGCGAGAAGCAGCTGGTGCACGCGTCCGTTCGGGTCACGCCTTGCCTCACCCGCATCCGTTCGATGATCGCACATGCGACACAGATGCCCCACTCGGTGTCGTGCTGCTCTAGCTTCGTGTTGTTAATGCCCACATAGCCACGCACCGCGAGATGATACGCATTGTTGAATATGTCCGTCTGGTTTTCGGTCGAAATCTGCAGCGTCGACGTACTAATATTCGTCACCCCCGTAGGATCATCGTTCGGGATATATACAAACACCCTGGCCCGACAAGAAAAATGGTTAGACGTGAACAATAATATGGGGGTCTCGGCGTACGGGTAATTGTCGTTGGTGTTGTTCGCGCCGTCGCAGCCGAAAAAAACCGGCCGCGCGTGCAACCCCAATGACATGAATTCGTCCGTAGAGTTAGGGAAGGGCATCGGGAAGTTGATCGTCCCTGGTGGAAGCGTGACACTCTTCGCCTGCGTCGCCAGAAGCGACAGTCCACTTGGCTTCTCCTCACTGGTCTCGCCGGACTACATCAACGTGTCTCAGTAACCAGAATACCACTAATGGGTGAGATCACACTCACTGAATCGAGGATGACGACCGCATCCACGTTCCGCTTCTTCACTAGGAGCGGAAGTATCGGGTCGTTTTCGACATCCAGAGATCCATCGAGCAAGCTCAACGCCGTCTCGTTCCAGTCCTGGTACGTACCCACGTTCATCTTGTAGAAAGGGTTCGCAACGCTCATGACATCCATTTCTTGCTCAAGTTGATACTTCCCAAAATACTCTTCGATCTGATTGATCATCGGCATGAACTCTTGAGTCCAGAATGGGCTGTTCGTCGCGTTATACATGTGAAAATCGCAAGAGGAAGTGCCGATCAGCAGTCCAGCATTGTCAAATGAGTTTACACATTTCTGCGCTGTGCCGCCGCTGAATGTGGAACCGAGATACGGGAGAGGTGCGAATGCAGCCAGCTGCGGTTCGTAGGATCCGAACCTGATGCATGGGGTTTGTCATCGGTGAGGGGTGGAGATTCAGGATAACATACTCGTATGGAGTCAGCTCATAGACAACGGAGGTGAGGGGTAGAACACCGGTGTCGCCGAAGGGCTCTCCTTGTGCGTTTGGCGAATTGACATCAATTAAGACTATGGGGAATGGGTATGTGTGATTTTTCCATGATTCACTAAATGTATATACGGGTAAGTCGGACAAGTCGCCTATTCAGTAACTGATACATACAGCTGCGTCATGGACGAATACGATATGGCAGCGGCATGATTTCCTGCAGTCGTATTGGATGCAAATGATGCGGTATCTTCGGTTCCGGGCAGAAAATGGTATGCAAGCTATAAACACATCAGAAGTGGGAACCAATAGATTGATAATGTAAAATAACACACTGCACGACCCCAAAGGTCACAAAACGTGACCGGAAAGTCTCCAGCAGATCGCTTCGCACCTAGATCCTCGAGGAGATGTGCGAAGAATGCCTGTTCGTACTGCCCAGATGGGCCTGGTTGAAAAATATCCTCCAGGAGCTGCCAGCCAGAGATTCCGGCCGTGTCGTTGCCGAAAACCAAATGTGTCAACGTTGGAAATTCATTGAAAATCAAGCTGGTTGAAATATAGGAACCACTGGAACGCGTACGTCGCTGAGTTGATCGAATGTGACGAAACTGGCTCACCCTGACAAGGCTGTGATATACGTCGATGATTGGAGCAGGCCTCCAAGGCCCATTGCCACACTTGTCTCATTCCTAGAGTCGAACGCATGCAATGCAGCAACATTGAATAGGGCAGCGCGAAGATCGCCTCCAGACAATGAGAGACCGACATTAGGCATGTCTGCCGCCGAAAGCGCATCGAAATTTCCGCTGTACACGGTACTCATGGAATTACCCAGCCACGATCGCAGGCTCGTCTGAACGATTTTTTGTCGAGAAATTATATACTCGACTTCATTCTGTGTAAGGTGGTGAGTAAGGGCTACAATATAGAACCATGGTCCATACCGGGTCCAGAGTCTGATTGTCCGCTTGTGGAGTCCCAGTGCGGCGAATTACTAGGTTGCCTGAAGTTGGACATGTTGCGTAGGCAGGGCTGTAGGTTGTAATATTGCTGCTTGGTGCGGCGGGGGATGTTGCAGCGTCGCTGACGGGGAATAGGACGACCATTAGAGCTGTGGGTATGGCAGAGAATGTATGCCACAGACTTTGCAAATTCTCATTTATAGGGTAATATTATGAATTCAGAGGGACAAAGTGCATTGTGATCGACGAGGCTTCGCGGTGGTTCCTTGGCTCCGAATAGATCTGTATATCCCGAGCTCATATGATCCTTCTTCCAGGAATTTGTCTAGATTCTGCTTCTACGACCAGAATGCCAACAGACTGAAGTTGACGAGCAACTGTCGACGCCACTTTCACCTACGAAAATCTCATTTCTACCCAGTACATGCGGAATGTCAAATACAGCACTCGTCTCTCAAGAGTCGCCAAGCTTTTAAAATTTGAAGCTCGAGTATGTTTAGTCACGGTCGTCGCGGCGCCTGGCAGAGTTGGGGTGATGACGCTGGCCGCGCCTTGTCTCAGATCTTTTTTTTTTTTTTTTTAATTCCAGGGTTTATACTCCATACCGTAGGGTACATGCAGAGTGTAATAAAATTTTTACAGCGGGGCGGCAATCACCCCGAAACGTTCCCCCCGCTCGTGGTGGAGCCAGAGGGAGAAACGGCGCTGGATAGTCCCTCGTCAGTTAGGCCAACCTGCTCGATAACAAGATAGTCGTCCAGTTGTGCGTCCGCAAGAAACGCTTGAGGGGGATACTCTGGGGCCTGGTTTTTCCACGCCTCGATCAATCGAGATGCTGTAATGTCAGCATTGTACTCCTTAACAAAGAGGTCGTAGTCTTTTGACTCGGGGTGAACGTCTGCTGGATCCATGTTGGTCCTTGCACAAAAGGCCGTAAACGCGGCTTTCCGCATTGCGGTGTGACTG